AACTCATTTCACTTCAAAGTGACAGCAGACCACCCAGGGAGACCCTCTATCAATATCAGAGCAATCTGATGTTTGGTTTTAATATTACAGCCCTTGAAAATGTCTATTTTCACTGAATTTGCTGATTTCAGATGGATGTTAAAAGAAAACGTCCTGTTTCCACTGACTTATTTCACTTCACAGTGACAGCAGACCACCAAAGGGAGACACTCTGTCAATATCAGAGCAATCTGATGTAGGTTTTTAAAGTTACAGCCCTTGAAAGTGTCTAATATTTTCACTATTCGCCAAGATTCAAATTGACGTAAAAAGGAAACTTCCTGTTTCCACTGACTTTACAGTGACAGCCGACCACCAAAGGGAGACCCTGACCACCAGAGAATAACAGTCAGCCAATATCAATGCAGTCTCATGTCCATTTTCTAAATGTATACACATATAAACACACAGACACTGCACATTATTTTCCAGATATATATACACAGTATGTGTATAGACAAAATATTAAACATCTTTATAAAATAAAAGTAGGCTATGTGTATATATTACAAAAAAATATGCAATTGTTCAGAATGTGCATATGTGTGTATCTTGGATCATTTCTTTATTCCCATTACTTCCTTGTCCATACAAGCTTTATTGGTGGGATGCGATGTATTACAGGCACACAGAGCAATTCCACTTTGACTTTCTCGCTTTCTTCAGGTCTCTGGTGTCCATAGCAAGGCACTGCTCATGGAACCACCTTTCACACATTTCACATTGGATCTACAAAGGACAAGGTTAAAATTTCAAAGATGATTGTCAGGGTACTCTCACAACATAAGACCTTTTTCAACAAATGAAGAAAACAACATAGTCCCAGTCTCTGTTTACTGTTACACACACACACACCTCTGCTCATACTAGATTTCCATTTCTACAATAAACAAGTCACAAGAACAAAGACTGTGACAGTGTCATTGGATTGGACAGATTACCAACATCATAATTGTTCTAACTGGACAAACTGTGGAGGTGGACAGCCAAAAAAGAATCATTCTGATAATTCATTCATTTTAATAGAGGTCTCAAGTTTGAGGATCAGAAGCCAATACCTCTTTTATAGGCCTACTAGTAGTCGACTGTGTAGGCCTTATATGGTTTTTACCCCTTTCTGTCTTTCATCTTGGTCAGCGGGTTGTTCTGTTGTTCGTTTTTAAGCTTCTGTAGGCATAGCCTACAGGTTCCCTGCTCTTACTACCGTGTTACATTATAGGTCCACTGTTTTTTTAATTAAAGGTTATTTCATCTGTTTACCTCCAAGGATGTCAATATATGCGACAATAATATATTAACGTTACAAACATTGAATTACATTTTGACTGAGACACTTTCATAGGTTTAGAGAAAAGGTACAAGGTTGTTTATTAGTCATTTTACAGCACTAGGCTGCATAACAAAACGAAATTTGTAGTTCATTCATGATACACCTGCCTATATTAAAATATGGTAATATATTAATTAAAATAAATCTATATATAGGCTACAATTAGGCTATTTATATAGGCTACATAAATAGCCTACATACACGTATACATCCATCTTGACTGCGTTTGAGCACCAAGAGTAATTGATGTAAAAACACAGAGTCCACCTCCTCTCATCTTGATGGAGTCTTGCACTGATAGCTTTAATTTGGCCCATGGGCTGCCTCTTGCCGTCCACTGCTGTATGTGAATCAAATGTGAGACCACATTTTGAACAAAAAGCGCAGGTTGGCTTCACATCGGCCCCTGTGAAAGGGTACTAAACTAGAGTTGTTAAAAGTTGAAACAGGAAGTTTCTTTTTTACGTCAATTTGAATCTTGGCGAATAGCGAAAATATTGCACACTTTCAAGGGCTGTAACTTTAAAAACCTACATCAGATTGCTCTGATATTGACAGAGGATCTCCCTGAGGTGGTCTGCTGTCATTGTGAAGTGAAATGAGTCAGTGGAAACGGGACGTTTTCTTTTTACGAGTTCAAATCTTGGCTGAATGTAGTAAACTTTCTGTGAGACTGTAATATTTTCTGTAGATACTGGTGTCTTAAGCATTTATTTATTTATTCAATCGCTTCTGCCACATCAATTGCATTATGTTCAGCTGAAGCTCACTTTTATTTTGAAATTGGCTGCGACACGATGTTACCCTAATGCCTAGAAAAAACACGCATCGCAAAACAGCGCGAGGGCTTGCTTGACTGTCGTTTTCGAAGTGGAGGCTGGCTTGACTTCAGTGATTCACACCTATTTAAAGTCTGCAATTCAATTTTCATTTATTTTATCCCTGAACTGTAACAGATTTATCCATTCAGACCTATAAATTGCTGCCCACATCTCTGATTTGTTCTGCTATGCAAGAATGATTAGTGAAGTAAAAAGGAAGTTCAGTCTGACTATCAGGCTAAGATACATAACAAAACATGATAAAATGAGTACTCTGCAGCCTGGATCTGTGGAAAGGACATCCTGCTTTTGCAAGAGGTCTTTTTTTCTACCAGTTGGTGGCAGCAGTGAGTCGGGGACATTTTTCTAAGATTATAATCATGCCTCAAGACAATTTTATTGCAATCTAAGTATCGAAACCTATTTTCAGGAGAAAATATCATAATTGGTGTACATGTCATATTATCTGACATGTACAACACCATCATCCCGGACATCCTCAGCACCAAACTCATCCAGCTCACTGTGCCAGCCTCCACCTGTCAGCGGATCACAGACTTCCTGACTGACAGGAGTCAGCAAGTAAGGCTGGGAAACATCACATCCAGCACCCGGACTATCAGCACTGGCGCCACCCAGGGGTATGTGCTCTCCCCACTGCTCTTCTCCCTCTACACCAACGACTGCACCTCAGGAGACCCATCTGTCAAACTCCTGAAGTTCGCTGACAACGCTCCAGAACAACCTGGAGCTTAACACGCTCAAAACTGTGGAGATGACCGTGGACTTCAGGAGGAGCCCCCCCACTCTGCCCCCCATCACCATACTCAACAGCCCTGTGTCTGCTGTGGAATCCTTCAGGTTTCTGGGATCCACTACATCCCAGGACCTGAAGTGGGAGCCCAACACTGACACCATTATCAAGAAGGCCCAGCAGAGGACATACTTCCTGCGTCAGCTCAGGAAGCTCAACCTGCCTAAGGACCTGCTGATCCAGTTCTACACAGCCATCATCCAGTCTGTTCTCTGCACCTCTATCACGGTCTGGTTTGGATCTGCCACCAAAAAGGACAGGGACAGACTACAACGGACACTACACTTAGGCCTTTAATTCCCAGGGTCTGTTAACCTCACTAAGCCATCAGATCCCTGAGTCTTTTATGTGACAGTATTTTTGTCCTCCTATGCCTTTTGCTGCTGGCATCTCTTCATCTGTTCAGCCC